GAGAGAAAAAAAACAAATGGAAAGAGAGAAAGCGTATTGAGTGTGAGTGAGTGAGAAATACCGTTTAAATCGATAACGCAGACACACGCATGCAATATACGGAAGCACGCGCATGGACGCACATATGGAGTGACTAACAAAAGACATATACAATCTACGGGGGACACGTAAACAGAGACAGACGGAGAGTTATTTGCCCACAAGTACCAAATTACGTCACTCTCCTCCGACAAGTTCAGCTGAGTGAGTCACAATATTTCCGGACACAAACGATGACTTAACCAGAGCCGAGCAACAGATTATGTAAATTCTTCTGGCATAAGTAAACATGGAAAGCCAGACGGGCAGGAAACAGGCATTCGAAGTTACAGTCTTATGGTGGAAGTTTTGAAGTTTGTTGTGATATCGTGTACTGATGTGTGTGTGTGTGGTAGGGGGGAGAGAGGTAAGGAGGGAGGGAGAGAAGTAGGGAGGGAAGTAAGAAGAGAGGTAAGGGTGGAGGGAGGGAGGGAGGGAGGGAAGAAAGGAGGAAGGGAGGGAGGTAAGAAGGGAGGGAGGGAGGTAAGAGAGAAGAGAAGTAGGTAAGGAATAAGGGAGGGAGGTAGGAAGGGAGGAAGATAAGAAAGAAGGTAAGGAAGGAGGGAGGGAGCTACACTGAAGTATTGGCTCGTGTTATGATATGAATTTCGCCCTGATACTATCTACAGGGAATGTACTGGTGTATCTGTGTATGGAGAGATGAAGGCAGAGAAGGGGGTATAGATTAAAGAGAGAGAGAGAGAGAGAGAGAGAGAGAGAGAGAGAGAGAGAGAGAATATGAAAGGTAAGCAAATCTGTTGTCATTTCCACCCTCATAAAATATTGTACCTTGATAATCTCATTCATCTCCTACTAATAGTTACAAAAATAACGTCTTTACTTACACGTTGAGTAAATGAGAATAGATTTGGTCGCCTTATCAACCTTCCTCTCTCTCTCTCTCTCTCTCTCTCTCTCTCTCTCTCTACGTTTGTAATGGGATTTCTCTTCATTAACATTAACATGCATTAACATGTCGTCTGCTGCTAACATAATACTCTGTGATAATTGAACCAGTGATCTCTCTCTCCAACATAAGCTAGTGTGGTGTTGTGTGTTAAAGTGTGGTGTTATGGGTGTAGTGTGGTGTTGTGTGATGTTATGGGATATAATTGTAGTTTCTATGTGGTGTAGTATAGTGTTTAGATGTTCTTTAATCGTATCTTTGTACCAATCCTCGAGCACCAGAGGAAACACCTTATCTGGCGTAAATCTTCTCCTCTTGACACAAACTCCACGGCATCTATTTTTTTTTTAACTGCATCTCTTTCCCTTCGCCAACCAGGAAATGGCTCCTGTCACTGGGATCAGGAACTAGGGGAGGAGGAAGGTAGGACAAGAGAAGGGGGTAAAAGAATGTTTTGTTTTTTTGTGAATAGGGGAAAAAAAGTAATTCAGAATCTCATGATTATAGAATGTGACGGAGAGGTAATGAACTAAGTCTGGTGTGTGTGTGTGCGTGCGTGCGTGCGTGCGTGCGTGCGTGAGAGATAGAGATATACAGAGCTACTGGTCTCTAAAGAATACTATAATTCTGAGAGATAGTCGGCAAGAAAATTCCAATAACGTTACACCCAACCCAAGACAACCTTCCCATCACCATCCAGCGAGTGAGACCCAGGCCCAAACTGTGTAGTGAATTCTGTTCTCTTGGACACGCCTTCTCCCCCTTTATCCGACTCCTTCGGCTTCATCTATCCTTCATAGCTTCATCCTTACGCTGTCTTTGAAGGATGGGCACCCAATTCATGGTAAGCCACACAGTCTCGGGGTCGATATTTCCTCCTTTTCTTCCCCTTTTCCTCACTCATCTCGTCTTCCTACAAATCTTCGCTCTCCTCCCCATCCCACCTTCCACACCCATATAATCCTCGTCAATCATAAGCTCATCCTCAGTCCTTTACACGAGGAAATACGGTCGAAGTCTCCAGGCTCTCTCTCTCTCTCTCTCTCTCTCTCTCTCACCACTTGCCTTCTACCTAGGATACTCAACATCATCTTTCTCTTGCATTAAAACTCCACCAGCTCCATAATCACTAGCATCTACATACAATTTAAACGGTTTATCATAATTTACAGTAAAAAGTATGGGTGCACTTATAAGTATCTGTTTCAATTCTTTAAACGTGTCATCACAATGAACACTCCACACAAATTTAACTTTCTTTGGCAACAGATTGGTTAATGGTAAAGCAATGGTTGAAAAGTTCTTACAAAACCTACGATAATATCCACTCATACCCAGAAATCTTAATAATTCTCTTCTATTTGTAGGTGCAAGAAATTTCACAGTACTTTCCACCTTAGCATTAATTGGTTTGACACTTCCCTGACCAACAATATAACCTAGATATTCTACAGCAAATTCACTCTTCACAAGGTTTACAGTCAAGTTTGCTTGATTCAATTTGTTAAATACTTCTCTAATTAAATACAAATGTTCTTCCCAAGTTTTTTAATACAGTACAATATCATCTATACACACAGAACAACCTTTAACATCATACAATACTTGATTAACTAATCTCTGGAAAGTACTACCGCTGTTTTCATACCAAAGGGTAACACTTTATGCTGATATAAACCTTCCATAGTCACAAATGAAGACATTTCTTTTGCTCTTTTAGTCAGTGGTACTTCCCAATATCCTTTCAACAAATCCATCTTAGTTACAAATTTAGCATCTCCTATTTGGTCAGTACAATCATCCACTCTAGGAATAGGATATGAGTCAGCTTTGGTTACATTACTGTATTTACTTTTCTGTAATCAGTACAAAATCTATATGAAATACCATCAGGTTTAGTCACCAATACACAGAGTGAACTCCAAGGGCTGTTACTTCTTTCAGTCATATCATTATCAACCATATACTGTACTTCTTGTCTCATTATCTCTCTCATCTTAGGAGTCACTCTATATGGGTGTTGCTTAATGGGTGTTGTATTCTCAGCCTCAACATCATGCTGTAATACCTCAGTTCTCCAAGGAACATCAGAAAACAAAGGCCTAAACTCGTGTATAATTTGTATGATTTGATTTCTCTTCTCAGTTCCTAAATGATCAAGTTTCTTTTCTAAATTATTCATCACACCTGAATTATTTAACAGTTTATTTTCACATCTCCCCAACTTCATATCTTCACTTTCATCTATCATCTTTTCATCATCAGACCTGACACATAGACAATTCACCTTGTTATTCATATCATTTTCTGTAGAGTTTCTATCATAATATGGTTTTATCATGTTTACATGCAAAGTTGTGCTTATGTGCATTTTTCTAGGGAGGGGGGGGGTCCATAGCTTTCACCAGATTCCCAAAGGGGTCCGTGACTCAAAAAAGGTTAAGAACCACTGCACTAGAGGATGTATAGTCAGTCCATAGGCTAACAACCTCCTGACAGCTGACAGGTGTTTATTTCAATACCACTGTTCCCATTAAAACTGGTTTGATCAAAACACAGCTTCAAAATTACAACAAAATATAATAAATATGTGTTCAAAAGGCCGCAAATCAATTCACTCAGAATAATGTTACCTCCACCAAACACAATACTCTCTCACTGCTATAATATTCTTTAGACTATAATGAACATATTGCAGTTTAGTTAACACCACAATTATCCATGATTGCCTAGAAAATAATAGATAAATGTGCACCACACAAGTTTGACCCTCCTATCCTCAACCTAGCTACAGAGAGAGCCACCAGAACCAAAACAATGTTCCAATGCTTTCTTGTTTCATCAACATATAATTTCTAATTCCTTTTATGCTTCACAACTGCTTCTTACAGTCTTTCTTAACTGTATAAAAAATAAGAATACATTCTACAAAGTTTACATAATGAAACAAATACTAGTATACATACTTATATAAAATAATCAAGAACTTTTTCAAAGTCTTTACCATAGGCTTTGAAATTCGATTCTAAAGAAAAACGGGAAACAACAGAAACTAAATACAATAGGGGGACGACCGTAACATTATGTTATGTTAGGCTAGGTTAGGTTAGGTTAGGTTAGGTTAGGTTAGGTTAGGTTAGGTTAGTGTCCCAGTGATAATTAGTTAACATTGTCTTAGTTTAGATACTTATCTTTTGTGTAATTCTTTTGGTTTGCTAGATGTATTACCTACGCTCACTATATATATTTAATAGGTTGTTACCTACGCTCACTGTATATATTCATTAGGTTTAGTGAAATATAGATAAAGAGTAATAGTTTTGGATATTATTGACTATACATTGATATGTATAATATGTATTAAAGTAAGGTATATCATAGGAGTGAAAGGAAGATATTGTTTGTTATTGTAATGAAATGTTAATGGTGGTGTTTACTTTCTTATGTGAAGTTCATTTTGGTACATTTTAAGTGGCTATTTGAGAACGACTAGTTTTAGTAAGAAAAGTCCTGTTATTTATAAAAAATAAAAATAAACATTATTTTATTTATTTTTTTACATTTTTTATTTATTTATTTATTTTTTTTTATTTATTTATTTTTTTTTATTTTTTTTTTTGCCTCACTCGGCCTCTTCTTCGTTTGGGACGGCTCTTGGGTATTTATTTAAGGCCGCTATCCCCCCAAACGTGCTTATAAGCATTTGGGTATTATTTGTTGTGTTGGGTATCGCCATTAACTCAGTCCCCTCGGGACAGTTTTCTGTAAAATAGGCGAGTTCAGGGGACTCATCCCATAGCACGACAACTTTGACGGCACCATCCTCCATGGCCGCTCGAACTTCATCACCAAAGCAGACCATGTCCGGTTCATCGACCCTGAGTTTTTCAAATATGGAACTGAGGACAGTGTTAGACTTTTCCAAAAGCATGTGCTGGCGGAGGTCCCGTGTGCCATTGATGGCCTCCCTCAGACCTTGACGGCCGGAGTATGAGGTGTTTATTACAGATCTTACAGCACTCTTCAAGAGCTGAGGGAGACGCTCAACCAATTGGTCCTTCAGCTGACCAGGACCCCCTACCACCAGGGCCTGAACCTGCACGGTCGCCTTATTTTCATTCAGAAAATAATCTTCGCTGAGAGCAATTACTTTCTTCACCAGCAATTGTCTCTTTTCCAGGCGGATGCGCTGGAACCTGGGAGCGGACTGGCCACCTCTGCCGTGCTTTTTTGGAATATCCACGTTCTCATGGTGGTGGACTTTTAGTCCATTTTCAGAGAGCGTTCCAAGGGCAACCGCTGACCCATCGATGACGATGTAGCCAACGCCTCCCTCTTGGGAGATGAGTAATTGGTGCAGTGAGTGCGTGGAGAATGTCTTGCTGACATCGTATTTAAATTCTTGAACTGGTTGAGGAGGTGTTAACGTCCGGCGAAGGCGACTCACCTCGCCGGTTGCTTTGTTGAGAACTGATTGGCCGTAAAACACTAAAAGCCCATGGGGTGGCATGGCATTGACTGTGGATAACATATCCACAGCGCTCTTCAGTGCTTCTTGCACTGAAGAGCGGTTGGAAACGGACTTTATGTTGGCCGCGCGGCTTTGTTCGTCCTTGATTCTATTTTTGACGAGTATCAGGG